CAGCGCGACTCCCGTGGACCCCGAGTTACCTGAGCCGAGCCCCGCGGGCCACCTTCGCCCGCGTGAGGAGCCTCGACTGGACTGGTGAGTGAGCGCGGGGAGGAAGGTGCGGGGATACCCCGCTGAGGGGGGCGGCCCTGAGGTGACGGCCCAGTGGGGGAGGGGCGGGGCCTTCGGCTCAGGTTTGCGGGGTTCCTGAGGGCAGTGGGAGCCCCTGACGCGTCCATTGGCCCAGTGCCCTGGTCTCGGTCTGACTGTGCTTTAGGGGATCCCTCTGGCGGCGGGCAGGGCACGGGAGCTCCCGAAGGCGGGGAGACACAGATCCCAGCAACGTGGTCATCGCTGAGAGTGACCCTCAGGCCGCCCCCCCGCCACTGGGAGGGCTCGGAGCACAAGGCTCAAGGCTTCCTTGTGGTTGGTCAGAGGGCCGAGCGCAGGTGTGGCCCCGATAGCCACTAAATGGACTACAACTGTGTGCCCCGGGGGCAGTGACCTGGTATTTGTTGTCCCCACTTACGGCCTAATCACCGAGCTAGAAACCTGATTTCAGCTTCCGGCAAGGTGGTGGGGTGGGGAGATGGGCACCACACGTTTAATCCTGCGGCCTCTGGCCTGCAGGACTGGGCCAGGTCTGGAGCCGTGGGGCGGGCAGTGTGCTGGGCTTTCCACGGGCATCCCTATGCCCAGTCTGAGCTGCTGGCGCCCTACGTGTGTTGTGTCTGAGGGGTGCTGCTTTGAGCTCAGCCTCTTCCCCTACATTTGGGTTCGCCTTCTCCCCTTTGCTGGAGAGGCTGGGTGTGCTAGAGCACCAGGAGGGTGAGCTGTTGGTGACCGTGGGCGTTTCAGGGTCAGAAAGCCAGAGAATGCCTCTGGTTGCAGCCACTGCCTTGCAGGGTGGTGCTGACCCTCCTCTGTGCACCAGGCACACTCACAGCCTTAGGGCACCAGTCCTGGGTCGAGGACCAAGAGTGGGCTTCCTCTGGCCTCCAGGGAAAGGCACCCACTGCGTGGACAACGGGCACTATGGGCCCCCCAGCTTCCAGAGCCTCCACCCACACCAGTGCTGACGCTGTGGCTGCGGAACCTGTCTGTGGACGTGAATCAGGAAGAGCCTGGGGTCCGCATTGTGACCCCTTCTGGTTGGGGGGGCGTGAGGGGGAGTGCTGAGTTTGGTTTGGTCAGGTCTCCCCATCCCCCGCAAGAAGCTGGGACTGGAAGGTTTTTTTAAGGGGGCTTGGAGTGAGGGTGAGAAAAGCCCGTTTGGGGTAACTCCATGCCGGAGCAGGGCAAGGGACACCAAGGGTCACCCTCTAGGGAAGCTGAACTCATACTCTCAATTCAGGAACTTGTGCCTCCAGTGTGTGGCTGTAGGGTTGGGAGGAGAGGGGGTGAGCACTGAGTAAACAGGGCCCAGGCCAGGAAGGGGCCTTGCAGTTGCCAGTGGGCATGGGAGCATGGCTGTTCCAGTGTGACTTCATGAGGCCTGGGGGTCCCAGACCTGAGCTCCAGGATGCTGGGGCTGCAGTGAACACAATGCATCATGTTAGGTGGGCGTGGTGCTTGGTGCCTTCATATCCTGGCACCCCGCTTATCTCACTGTCAGAGCAACTTTGCATCTTAGGGGTCAGGGACTATGACAATCTGGCTTCATAGAAGCCTGTGGCGCAGGGTAGGGACTGGAGCCTAGTCAGCCCTTAGGATATAAAATGCGGAATTAACGTGATACACCAGCAAGTTCATGCTCAGTAAGCATTTCCTGTGCACCTACTATGTGCTCCATCCCTGATCTATTCCTGCCATTGGGGGGCTCCCAGTCAAGATTGGGTTTCTGTTCCTTCAGAACCTGCAACCCTGGCCTTTCCAGGTGGAAGCTGCCTGCTTAGACCTGGGTAAAAATGACGTCTTGCTAACACCACATCTTCGCCAGATAGCCAATCCAGTCAACCGGTCAGCCTCTTTGAAGCCTCCTAGTGTGTGTGGGTGCTCTGTCACGTGCTGACAGGTTTTGAGTCAAGGCTTCCTGGGGGCCCAAATACAAGGCAAATGTAGCCAGGCATCTGGCCAGCGCTTTGTAGGGGCCATTGGGCACCCAGGTCAAGGGGAAACATGGAGCTGCTAGGGCCATCCATTTAACTCAAAGATTTAGAAGGGCAAAAGTTATAAATTTTTGTAGACACAGGTGAAAGCATCAGGATCCCTTTTTTCCACATGTGCCAAACTCTCACTCTGGAGTCAAATGGAACATCTGTATACATATAGGAGACAGCGTCTTTGATGGACATTTGTACCTGAGCTGGGCAGCACCAGACCACCATCCACTACTTTCAACCCTGTTCTGTTCTCTTATGCCCGGTGGGCCCCTCGGTGAACATGTTGAGCCTCTGACTGGCGGTGTTCTGGGGAAAGGGCTCTGAACATGTATGCAGAACATCAATTGGGTTTGCACTTGTTTTCCTCCCATAACCCACTGCTAGCACAATTCAGGGCCTGAGCCACGAGCTGAATGATGTGGAACCAATAGAGGATCTCATTTTCAGGAATTCTTAGACACGGAATGAATTCTAGGTCTGATTCTGCCACAGTTTTATTCTGTGATGTTGGGTAACTCCCTTCTTCCTCTCTTGTCTTCAGTCCCTCTCTCTGTGAGATGGGAAGGAGGGGCTGTACCACGTTTCTGAGGTTCCTTTCAGCTTTTACATTTTGTGTTAGACATGTATCCCCTGTCCAGGTGGATATAATTCAGATTCAACTACAATTTATCTAGATCTGACTAAAATGCATTGTGAGCATACGTGCATATACATTACTTAATTGTATTCACAAAGACCCCAGAATGCAAGGTGTTATGATCACCATTTTGTGGATTACAAACAGGATCAGAGAAGTTGAGTGTGTTAGCTGAAGTCACACAGACAGGAAGTTGCAGAGCTGAGATGCAGTCTCAGGCCTGCTTCTGGCTTCCAAGGGGCGGGGAACAGACACTGTGAGCCCAACAGCAAGTTAGCTTCCTCCACCCCTCTCTCCCTGCCTGCCTAGGGCTCTGGGCTCTGGGCTCTGGGCTCTGGGCTCTGGTGTAGGAGCTGAGGAACGGAGGTGGGTTCCTGCTAGGGCAGTAGGCTACTGGTAGTACATACAGGTAGGTGGGCTTTGGCTGGTGAAGATTCGCAGTGTTCTGGAAAGCTAGGAGGGGCAGTTTATCAAAAGCAGAGAGCAGCGTCTCTAGCTGGCCTGGGTCTGGCTCTCCCAGGTGGGCCTCTAGACACCATGTGTGCTTTTTCAGCTTAAGGAGCTGCCTTCTCTTTGTTACCTGCTCTGTGTTGCCATCTGGGAGCCCCTACCGGCCATGTGGCTTGTAATTCCCAGAAACCCACCTTCAAATATTCCTGTCCACATTCCCCAGCTCCTACAGGCTAAGGGCAGGGAAGGAAGAATTGTGCTGCAGAGACAGAGCTCAGAGCTGCCTCGACAATGAGGGGAGCAACTTCAAGCAATGCTTTTATTTCACCCAGTTCAGCATCCCCCCACCCACTTCCATTCCCACACCTAGTCTGTATGTAGACCCTGCTTCTGAGATCACAGCTTGTTTCTCAGAACCCTGAGGTAGCCTCAACTCCTGGTATGATACTGGTCAAGTAATTTTCTGTCTCTGGCATCTATGTCCTCATCTAGCTAGTAACCAGCTGGTTGGGCCTACATGCACCTCTTAGGTTCTTTCCAGTGGTGACATTTCAGGATCTGTCTTTCACTTTACCTTCCCAGAGGCAGCAGGATGGACCAGATGCCTTTGGAGAGGGCATCGAGCTTAAAAATCACTCTCTCCCGGTCTGGTTGTTTCCACTCGGTGGCTGCAGGTGCTCATCCCTCCCTCCACACTGACAGCCCACCCCCACTGCTGAAGGCGCACCCTCCACGGGGCCCAAGCCCTGGCAAGTACAGGCCTGGCCCCTTAGCTTGACAGCTCCGGAAACAGAGCGCAGCCCTGTAGCCCAGACTGCGGCTGTGGTGGCAGGAGGCGCAGGGGGAGGGGGAGGAGAGAGGTGCCCACTTGTCCCGCCTCCAACCTCCGCAGCAGCAGCACTGGCCCAGCGAGTCAAGTGGGGTGCTTGGAACCCCTCGGTTTGTTGATGGGGCCTGGAGCTGGCTGGGAGACCATCTCTGGTCAACTGATCCTGCCTGCGGCTGCAATCCTGAACTTGGCAGAGCCAGCGAAGGTGCCTCCTAGCTTCTGGCTGCTGTAAGGCAGGGGACGCCGTGTTCCAACGCATCCATCTCACCCTTCCCCTGTCACAGTGTGGGGAGTTACACCTCCCAGGTCTGGGCAGACAGTCGGGGCTCTCGCAGTCTGAGGGGTGGGAGTGGGGTTGGGGAGCACCATTTTGGGCTGGATGTGGATTCACATTCATCACCTCTGTCAGGCTCCCGAGCCCCATCTCCTTTCACATCTCCACCTTAGGTTCCCTCTGTCCTGCCTCCACTGAACTTGCGATTGAAAGGCAGCCACAACCGCACCTACTCCCTGTCCGCAGCCCCTGCGCTTTGTCAACCACGGGGTCACCCACCCGCTTGGGCCAGCCCTCTTCTGCGCCAAGGGCTCAGAGAGTACAGGGACCAAAGTTTGGGTCCTATCAGCCAGCCAAAGGCCCTGAGCCCCGGCGGCGCTGAGAGGTCAGGTGCAGCAGCGCTGGCCTCACCTGTTTCTCCAGCGGCTCCTTGGCTGAGAGCGCAGGCTTGGGGGAGGGCGCGCGGTCGCAGACGCAGCCCTCCAGCAGGTAAAGCCCTGAGGGCCTCGAGCTCGAGTCGCTTTCGAAGTAGAAAAGCAGGTTCTGCAGCAGCGCGAACCACTTGGTTTGCCATTTTGTGTTGTCCGAACTCCGCTTGCTCAGGTAGCCTTTGCGCGTTCCGTCCTTGCGCGCCAGCAGCCCCAGGGACGCGACGTGGCCATCGTTCAGCCGGATCCCCTTCTGCATGGTGCTCGGAGGCCAGCTAGACCCCACGCGCTTACATCTTCTCCAGCAGCCCCCAGTCCGTGCGCGCTGCGAGCTGCCTCTATCTGGCGCTCGCTCGCTTGCTCCTCGCACTCCCCTCCCCCTTCAAATGTCTACACTCCGGGATCTGGCGCTGAGCCACGGCTTCTGCAATCCAGATGTACCATTCTACTCCGCAGAGCCCCAGGGCCCAGGAGATGCCCCGCGACCCTGCCCCCTGGCACCTGGGAAACCGAGGGAGCAGGAGCTGCGCTGGGCGCTAGCGAGGGACGGGCGGAGTCATGTGACGCTGATCCCTCGAAGAGCCCGTTTCAGCGGCGCGGACAGGGACACACGCACACGCAGCCTGCGAGGCGCAGAGCCACGCAGGCTGTACCTTGGCGCCTCCTCCCTCTCCTGGACACACACGCACAAACACACACCCTGGTCTCTCCTCTCTCCTTCGGGTGTTAAAAAGGAAATCAGATCAGTTTTCGTTAAACCAGTGGAACCCCGAAGGCTCGCCATCCCAGAGTTTGCATCTTTTGCCCCTTTGCAGGACGCAGTCATTTTCTCCAAAGGTTCCTTCCTGTTTATTTTTCTAACCAGAGGTGGATGAAGGTGGATGGAAGGTGGATGTTAAAGAGCTTTCAGTTCTAATCTTTGCGTAATCCACCGGTCATATTCATTTCGGCATCAAGCCTCACTCGCAGTGGCTTCCCCAGCGACATAAGGACAATACAGGGAGTGAGGTGGGGAGGGGGAGGTGCGCGTTACTTTATTGTGAGTGTTGCCATAATTATCAGCGCCACCCCCAGCACCCTGAGGTCTAGCTGGCTAGCGCTGCTGGGAGTTTTCTGCAAATACCCCCCGAAGCCTGAGGGCGGGCTTCAAACGCAGGCGCTGGGGACCATGGGAACCTTCAAATAGCTGTGCTGGCGCAATGATACCTTAATGATAGATTTTCCGTTCTTATTTTTAGCTCTCGTTCGCCTACACAGTTACACGGCATTTATGTGAGAACGTCACAGCGCCCGCATGCTGCACCGGGAGGGCGCGGGCTGCCGGCTAGCCAGGGCGCTGAAGCGGGGAGCGCGCTGCTGTCTGCCGCAGAGGCAGCGGCAGCCTGGGACGGGAGGGCGTCTGGCCCGCCGCTGGCCTGTCTGCACCGGGGATGGCCTTGCGCAGCGGCTGGAGGAGGGAGGGAGGGAGGGAGAGACACCATCTTTCAGCACCCAACCAGCCGGCTCCTCTTTCCAGACACACACGTCTGGTGTGCCACCGAGAGATCCACCGGGGTGGACTTTTAGCTGCCCTGTCCTGGGCAGAATGGAGCAGGCCTGCATTCCTGCGGGTGGGGGTGGTACATTCTGGGAGAGCTAATGACCCTGTGAACGTCAGTCTTTCCTCTGGGTATAAAGACCAGATAAGGCTGATCTTTCTGCAAGCATCTTGTTGACAGTGAGTTAAGAGCAGATAGTTGTCTGTGAACAGAGCACAGTATAGTGCAGTAGGCCAACTGCCAGTGTGATGAGTTTTGCTGGGCATCTCAAGTTCACCACTCCACACTTGCTCCCTGGGCTGCCCTGCTCTGCCCTTGGAGGCTGCTATCAGTCCCTGGTCTCAACCCCATGAAGGGTTTCTGGTGTTGACCCAAGAGAAACGATTCCTGGAGGGAAAAGTGAGGTTGGTGCTGTGTCTGTCCTGTTGGGGGCACTGCCCACCCAACTCTGTGTCTGTGTTCCAGGGACTGCTTCTCCCCTAGTTCCTCAGGAAGGGGGCTGGTACTCACCAGAGCAGAGCATCTCTGGTGGTCTCCCTACTCCCAGCCAAAACCTTTGCAAATAGTCCCTTTATTACACTCCTCTCATCATCCAGTTCAAGTGTTCCCTATTTCCTACTGGACCCTACCTGATTCAGAGCTGGTAGGAACACTTAGGAATAACTCAGGCCAGTTGCTGCCTCTTTTGAGGAAAAGTCACATGCTCAAGGCCACAGAAAGTCCATGAAGGCTGGCTGAACCCAAACCCAGGTCCCTGGGGTCTCAGAGTGCCAATCTTGCTTCTCCAGTGTTCTCTTTCTGGATCAAAACTGGTTACATATAGAATGCTAGGAATGACTTATAAACGAGGAAGAATATAAAGAACAAGTCAGAGATTTGCCACCCCCTCCATTGGAATCTGGCCCAGCTAATGTGATCTTTTGAATCATTTTTGGGGAGTGGGTGGGGAGGTAGGCATATGGGCTCTGCTTTGCGTTTGGAGTTTTGTAATAAAAAGTTGCTGTAAGACAGGGACATGCGTAGACTTTTGAGAAATACTTTCAGTCAAAAACTTCTGGTGCTTTTCTTAAAATTGCAGGCAGATCGTCAGCTATTCAGAGGGTTTACCTGTCATGATGGTGCAGTTCTAGAGAGTTCTAGAGTGTGCTGAAGGAGAGATGTTACCAAGTTACTACACGAGGAGTAGTTCCCAGGCCCCAAATTGATTCTGTGGGGTAGGTTTGTTGCACAGTCCAAGATGGGGGAGAGAGGCTTTTAAGAAATGGAACTCAGAGAGATTTAAAAATCAACCTATTTGTCATTAGGCTGATTTTAGTATTTTAAGTAAAAAAAAAAAATCAGCAAATTTCTCATTATTGGTGATAGGAACAAAACTGGTAGTCACTTAAATAACTTTTCAGGATGCCTCACCCTTCTGAACCTGATACTTTGTGCATTACTTGAATGCAAGGCAGGAGGTGTATTTTCTCAAGAGAATGAGTCCCCCAGGGCAGCTTCAGCTTTCGCTGTACCCAGTGAGTCCAAAAGATTATGCCTCTCACATTGTAAAAGCTTGGTTCTCTCTGATCTGATAGTCCCGCGTTGTCTTAGTCTGTTCTGGCTGCTGTAACAAGATACCAGAGATTTGGGTGGTTTATCAACAATGGACATCTATTTCTCTCATTTGTGGAGGTTGGAAGTCCAAGTTCCATGGTGCTAGCATGGTGGGTTCCAGTGAAGGCCCTTTTCCTAGCTGCAGACTTCTCACTGCTTTCTGTGCCTGCTCATGGTGGAATGGGCATGGGAGCTCTCAGGGTGTCCTTTAAAATGATCCTAGGCCCATTCATGGGGGCTCCACCCTCAAGACCCATTCACTCCCAAAGGCCCCACCTCACCATCACATTGGGCATTTCTGTATATTAATTTTGGAGAGCCCACTGTTTGCATCTGTCTTTCCCAACTTCTTATTCAGTGACATGAAGTTGGTAGCCTGACAGTGGCCATGGCAGAAATATTTACACCACAGAAATTGGGAAACAGTACAGGCCAGGAACCATCCCCACGGTCCTAAGAGCAGATTGTTAGCTTTTACCAGCATGCTCCCATCTCCCAAACTTCTGCTCCTGTCTCTGGGGAACCTGGCTGTCTTGGTGGGTGAGTCTCTTCCTGCCCATCCAGAACCCAGAATAAGCTGTCTTCTTGTGCCCAGAGCCCAGACTTAAGAGAAATCAACTATGTCATTGCCCCCTGGGGCAGCCCTCAGAAAGGAGAGCCCTGCTGGCTCTCTTTTTAAAATGTGTTTTTATTGATTTTTAGAGAGAGGAAGGGAGAGGGATAGAGAGAAACATCGATGAGAGAGAAACATCATTGATCGGCTGCCTCCTGTACGCCCCCTACCGGGGATGGAGCTCACAACCCAGGCATGTGCCCTGAGTGGCAGTTGAACCTGTGACCTCTTGGTTCATGAGCCACACCCACCAGGCCCTGCTGGCTCTCTTGAAAGGAGCAAGTGGGGTTCCTCTCACTTCGTTTTCTGCAACTTTTTCCATCGGAAGAGCCTGCAGTGTCATAAAGCACCACTAAGGTGCCCACTGGAAGTCCTGCTACACGGATGTTCCTCCTGCAGCCCCTGGTCTCAGCACAGCGAGTAGATAGTGGATGGAGGAAAGTTAGACATTCACTATATTCAACTGCCCCAAACTTTCAACAACTCTCGTATGCTGCCTTGCCTTGTGCACACTCCCACAGGGGCCCAGGCCCCTTTGCTGCAGCCCTGCCCTGACCTCTTGGCTTCTGTAGCTCTTTATGTAACCAGACACTGAATGTTCTATCTGGGAGGCTGGCTCCAAGGAATCTCTCATTTTCAGATATTTATGCCTGAAACCGAAGACCAAATACCTCTAGTTCCTGTCCCCTGTCTTCTCTCGGCATCATTAGTCGTTTTTCAGGCGNCAGATATTTATGCCTGAAACCGAAGACCAAATACCTCTAGTTCCTGTCCCGTCTTCTCTCGGCATCATTAGTCGTTTTTCAGGCACTGCGTTCTGTAAGTGAATCTGCCAGCTCGTCACTGGTGGGTTCTGAGTTCCCAGTGGCACTTGAAGAAATGCCCAGAATAGCTTCAGCCAGCCAGCAATGCATAACCAGGGAGACAGGAGCTCAGACACTTGGAGGTATGGAGAACAGTGGGGGATCACATCAATAAAAGCATAGCTTGTGTCTTTCTCCAAGGAGACAAGAAAACTATCATCACTTCTAATCACCGTGTCAACACTCCCGTGAGGGGGATCACAAGATGTGAGCGTTTGCATGTGCAGGTGGTGCACTGGGATGCAGGACAGTTATTGAAACTTGAAGAAAATGAAGTTGTGTTTGGTAGGAGTTGCTTCTGTGGATCTATGCAAAGGGAAAGAGTGAGGTTTGGGAGAGTGAGTCATTCATTCACATGTGCATGGATCTTGGCCAGGATGGGGACAGATCCAAAGATCGATCAATCTATCTCTCTATCCCTCTCCTTTCCTCTTTCTCTAAAAATCAATAAAAACATATTAAAAAATAAAGAAAAGATTCCCCTTGAACATTGGCTGCCTGGAAGTTAGAGCTAAATTTGTAATGTGGCTTCAATAACTGTCTAGGCCCTGACGTGGACCTTTCTGTGCGGATGACTTCTTACCTGAGTTCACCTTGCTCAGTGGAACCTTTTCTTACTGACCCATGTAACTGATGCTTACAATTTATGGAA